AGTGCATTCGAACTGCTGACCTTTTGGTTAGCAGCTGAGCTCTTAACCACGGCACCACCGGGGCTCCCAACGTCTCTTACTCCCTCCAAAATCCAGTTATTCATACATCCACTTTTCTCTGTCTTGTCTGCTACCACACCCTAAGCCAGATCCCCATCATATCTTTCTTTGCCCAAAAACAGTTCTTTAAACCGTCTCCTCACCTGCCCTCCTCTCTCCCAGTCCATTCTCCACATAGCAGCCAGAGCTGCCTTTATTTTTTAAGTCAGGTTTATTGAGTTTTAATTTAGATACAATAAAACTTATACCTTCCTGGTGTACAATTCTATGAGTTTTGACAGATACATGTAATCATGTACCCACCACGGTACAACATTTGTATTGTTTCCAGTTTTTGGCAGTTACGAATAAAGCTGCTGTAAACCTTCATGTACAGGTTTTAGTGCAAACATAAGTTTTCATTTGTCTTGGGTAAATTCCTAAGAGTGGGGTTGCTGGATTCCATGGTAAGTTAGTGTTTCTAGGAAACTGCAATACGGTTTTTCAAAGTGGCTGAACTATTTGCATTCCCACCAGCAATGAATGAGTTACAGTTGCTCCACATCCTCACTAGCACCAGTTTTTGTTTTAATTTTAGTTTACTAATTCTAATAGGTGTGTAGTGGTAGTTCATTGTAGTTTTAATTTGCATTTCTATAGTAACTAATGATACTTAGCATCTTTTTACATGTTTATATACAATTCATGTATCTTTGGTGAAGTGTCCATTCAAATCTTTTGCTTATTTTTTTTAATTGGGTTTGTTTTCTTTTTGTTGTGTCTGACAGTTCTTTATGTATTCTGGATACAAGTCCTTTGTCAGATGTATACTTTGCAAAAAATTTTCTCCCAGTCTGTGGCTTGTCTTTTCATTCTCTTCAGTGTCTTGGCAGAGCAAATGTTTTTAGTTTTGATAAAGTCCAAGCTCTCAGTTTTTTCTTTTATGGAGCATGATTTTGATGTTGTATCAGATAACTCTTTGCCAAACTTAAAGCCACAAAGATTTTCTCCTATGTTCTCTTTTAAAAGTTTTACATTTTTATTCTTGGGTCTATGATCCATTTTGAGTTAACTTGTGTGTATGGTGTGAGGTATGGGTCGAGGTTCTTTTTGTATATGGATATCTAGTTGTTCCAACACCATTTGTTGAAAAGAATATCCTTTTCACCTTGTCAAAGATCAGTTGACTATATGTTTGTGTAAGCCTATTTCTGGACTCTATTCTGTCCCATTGATCTATGTCAGGGATCAGCAACTGTAAAGGGCTAGATAGTAAATATTTTAGGCTTTGTAGGTCAAAAGGCAAAAGCAAACCTATTATACAGGCATTTGTATAACAGGAGAGAAAACAAATTTTCTCATAAAACTAAAAATATAATCATTGAGAACAATTTTTTCTAACAGGTCTACTAATGAGAAGAATGAAATTCTTTTTTTTAGGAGAGGATAACATTTAATTGGGGTTCACAGTTAGTGTTTCCTCTCATCAGAATTGATTGCAAATACTCATCTGTTGATTCAGATCTGTAATGAAATTTTATGTATTTTTATCTTTGAAAAATATCTTTTCGTATAGACGATACGTATAGTAGTAGAAACGCTGCAGTTTGTAGTGTGCTGAAAAGCAGTGCAAAGCAATGAGAGTGCCACGTACTGTCTCTGTCGTAACTAAATTCTCCATTGCAGCACAAAGCCACCATAGACAATATATAAACAAATGCGTGTGGCTGTGTTCCAATAGAGCTCTACTTACAGGCACTGAAATTTAAATTTCCTATAATTTTCACTTGTCACAAAGTACTATTCTTTTGATTTTTTCAACCATTTAAAAATAGAAGAAGCATTCTTAACTTCAAAAACAAAAACAAAAAACAAACTCGTTGCCGTCGAGTCAATTCCAACTCATAGCAACTGTGTAAAACAAAGTAGAACTGTCCCATTGGGTTTCCGAGGAGCAGCTGGTGGATTCGAACTGCGACCTTTTGGTTAGCAGCCAAGCTCTTAACCAGCGCCACCAGGGCTCCATTCTTAGCTTAGGGACATACAAAAACAGGCAACATGCTAGATTTGGTTTGCAGGCTGTAGTTTGCTTACCCCCGATCTATGTTTCTAGTCTTTCACTAATACTAATGTCAAGATTAATGTAACTTTTTAGTAAGTCTTGAAATCAGGTAACGTGAGTCCTCCAACTTTGTTCTTTTTCAAAGCTGTTTTGGCTGTTATAGTTCCTTTGCCTTGTCATGTAAATTTTTTAATCAACTTGTTGATTTCTATTTAAAAAATCCTGCTTAGATTTTTATTGGAATTACATTGACTTTACAGAGCAATTTGGGAAGAATTGACATCTTAACAATATCTAGTCTTACAATCCATTGAACCCAGTATATCTCTCCATTTGTTTAGAGCTTTGGTTTCTTTTAGCAGTATTTTGTAGTTTTCTGCATATAGATTTTAGATTTTGCATATATTTCATTAGACTTATACTTAAGTATTTCATGTTTTTTGGTCAGAGAAATCTTTTTAAAATGCAAATTAGATCATGTTGTTTCCCCTGCTAAGACACTTAAGTGGCTTCCCACTGCTCTTAGGATAAACTCTATAATCTTTAAAAGCCTAAAAGGCCCTCCATGATCTGGCCCCTGTTCTCCTTTTCAACCTAATTTTATAGCACTCTCCCTCTTGCTCACAATGTTTCAGTCTCAGATTAGCAAGAAATCAATGAATCAACTAAAGGATATAACTTTAAAAATACCTGAAAGACTAAATAAATATTTTCAAACAAATACTTGAAGAATGTATTTTAATCTTATTGAAAAGAGCCTCTTAATGGTCTCCAGCAAAGAACGAACTTAGATTTTAGCCGGGTAGTTGGGCTCTTTGTTTGAATTTCTTTGGTCTTTAAGTCTGCACTTGTTCCACTAAAGCAGAGTACTTTACAAGTATTGTTTACATGGATTTAGCTTTGTATATATTAGCTAAAGAAAATGTTCCTTTCTTAGAAACACGCTGAAACTTGGTGAAAAGACTGGGTTTCTGACCAAACCAAGGATCCTGGCAATTTCACTGTATATGATGAAGTGGAACTTTACAACTTTTTAAAATAGTTCTTATGATACCCAAAGTAGAAACGTTAAGACTCGTAGTGTTCTGTGGGAAGGTATGTAGCTATGTGCCTAAACCGAGAGAAAAAGCCGCAAGATTCATCTCTTAAATAAATCTTAAAACCAGCACATTTAATCAACCAGTGTTTATTCAGCTCTTTATTTTAGATATATAGAGATGAGTAAGATATAGCTTGTATCTTAAAGGACCTCAAAAACTGGTGGGGAAACAGACAGTTAAAAATGAAAGTACTTGTTCATGAAAGTATGTCTAAGGGGCTTTGATAGTTCCAAGGAGAAATGCACCACCCAACGAGATTTGGAGTATACTAAGAGTTGTTGACTTTCAAGACATGAGGTTAAAAGAGAAACAGGACCATATCATGAAATACTAAGGGGTCTGGATTTCTTCCTGTAACTCAGAGGTTCTAACACCTCACTATACATAGAATTACCTGGAGAGCTTGTTTAAAATGCAGATTCCTGGACCCTTCTCCCAGAGATTGACTATGTAGCTCTAGGGTGGTTCCCCCCAAACCAAACCAATTGCCATCGAGTTGATTCCAACTAGTGATGACCCCATGTGTTACAGAGTAGAACTGCTCCATAGGATTTTCTTGGCTGTAATCTTTAAGGAAGCAGATCACCAGGCCTTTCTTCCATGGCACCATTGGGTGGGTTTGGCCCACCAACCTTTCGATTAGTAGTCAAATACAAACAGTGTGCACCACACAGGGACCTTGGTAATTCCCCAGTGGTTCTTATTTATCTAGAACCTCCAGTCTGCACACTGACATTTGGGAGCCAATGCATTAAGTAAGGTCGAGTCGCAGAATAGTTTCTAAGCTAGGTAATAAGATGATCATATTAACATTTTAGAAAGTTAAGTCTGATAGTGGTATGGAACAGTGGAATCACCTGAGAATCTCATAATGCAAATTATGAATCAGTAAGTCTGGGGTGGAACCTACAATGCTACATTTATAACAAGCTCCCAGGTGAGTCTGATGCTACTGGTCAGATGGTTGGAGGACCACACTTCTAGTAACAGGAGTATAGAGGGTAGATGAGAATGGAACAAGACTACAGTCATGGAGGTCAGTTAACAGCCTGTTGCAATAATCTAGGTAAGAGATGGTGAGTATTGCAACTACTAGCAGTCTCTGGTAATGGCAAGAATGGGTTCCAGAGAAATGTAGGAGATAAAATTGGCAAGACTAATTTGGGCAGTTAGTGAAATATGGAGTTAAAAGTGGAGAGAGGGGTTTCAAAAAATGGTCTGAAGTTTGAAGCTCAGCCATGTAGATTAATGGTAGTGATATTAACTGAAATATGGAATAAAGAAGAGGAAGAAGGTGGCCTTGGGGGTGGAGAAGGGCTGGTTAGAGGAGATAAGTTATTAGAAGTTGAGAAAAGGGGTAGCCAGAAGGATTTGTTTTGAATTCACTGGGTTTGAGGAGAATACATGATATCCAAAATTTAAAAGGTGAGTAGGAAAGAGGAACCTGCAGTGGACTAAGAAGTGTCAGAGAGATGGGTGGATAACAGAAAGAGCAATATCAAAGGCATTTTCCAGGAAGGGAAAGTCAATAGCATCATTGCCACAGAGACATCAAGTGAAATATAAATGGCTTAATGAGCGTGCATAAAATTATGGTTAAAAGCCTAACTTTCCAAAATGAAGGTTGAATAAAGTGAAATTATGAACTATCCAAATTAGTTTATCTCTCACTTAATCTTTTCATCTAATTTAAGGAAAAATTTAAGAGTGGAACTAGTTTTTTTCAAGTCACTCGTCATGATAAGCCTCATAGCACCTTTTCCATTATGATTTTTTTTTCTTGTTTTCTCCCCCCACAGGTAGATCATACTTAGAAGAGCTGCTGTGACACCTAGGGGAGGTGAAAACTAATGGATGAAAGTTTTGCCATGCACTGAAAAAAAAGCATTGTCTGTGAAGTTCTGTTCTAAAAAATGTCTGCTTGTAACACCTTTACTGAACACGTGTGGAAACCTGGTGAATGCAAAAACTGCTTTAAGCCTAAAAGCTTACATCAGCTCCCCCCAGACCCTGAGAAGGCACCCATCACCCATGGCAATGTGAAAACTAATGCCAATCACAGCAACAACCACCGCATCAGGAACACCGGAAATTTCCGGCCTCCTGTGGCCAAAAAACCCACTATAGCTGTGAAGCCCACTATGATGGTGGCAGATGGGCAAAGTGTTTGTGGTGAGCTTAGCATCCAAGAACACTGTGAGAACAAACCTGTCATCATAGGTTGGAACCGAAACAGGACTGCCTTGAATCAGAAACCACTTAACAATAATAATGAAGATGATACTGAAGGATTTAGCCACGTTCCTAAGCCTTATAGCAGTAATGACAGTGCAAAGAAGATATCAAATAACAATAATGGACTAACTGAAGTGTTAAAGGAGATAGCAGGCTTGGATACCACCCCTCAGATAAGAAGAAATGAAACAAACTCTAGAGAAACATTCTTAGGAAGAATAAATAATTGTTACAAACGATCATTGGAAAGAAAGCTTCCACCAAGTTGCATGATGGGAGGGATAAAGGATACTCAGGGAAAGCATGTTATTCTGAGTGGGAGCACAGAAGTGATCAGTAATGAAGGGGGCCGGTTCTGTTACCCAGAGTTTTCTAGTGGTGAGGAAAGTGAGGAAGATGTATTTTTCAGTAATGTGGAGGAGGAGCATGAGAGCTGGGATGAGAGTGATGAAGAGCTGTTGGCCATGGAGATCCGCATGAGAGGGCAACCTCGCTTTGCTAACTTTAGAGCAAATACTTTGTCTCCTGTTCGATTCTTTGTGGACAAAAAATGGAATACTGTCCCCCTGCGAAACAAGTCTTTGCAGAGAATCTGTGCTGTAGACTATGATGACAGCTATGATGAAATCCTGAATGGTTATGAAGAGAATTCTGTGGTCTCCTATGGACCCGGAAGCATTCAGAGCATGGTGTCCTCAGACTCCACATCACCAGATTCTTCTTTAACAGAAGAATCACGTTCTGAGACAGCCAGTAGTTTATCCCAGAAGGTTTGTAATGGAGGGTTATCTCCTGGTAACCAGGGAGATTCTAAGAAGATGAAGGAAATTGAGCCCAGTTATGAAAGTCTCTCTGGTAATAATCAGGAGGACTCATCACAAACTTCTAAAAGCTCAATAAAAGTTCCAGAGACACACAAAGCAGTCCTTGCTCTCCGATTGGAAGAGAAGGATGGCAAGATTGCTGTACAAACTGAGAAGCAAGAAAGTAAAGCCTCTACAGATATTGCTGGGCAAGCAGTAACCATAAACCTCGTCCCTGTAGAAGAGCAAGCGAAGCCCTACCGAGTTGTGAATTTGGAACAGCCATTGTGCAAGCCATATACTGTCGTGGATGTGTCGGCAGCCATGGCCAGTGAGCACCTCGAGGGCCCTGCCAAAAGCCCCAAGATGAAAAGCTCATCTTCTACTCCAAATTCTCCGGTGATATCACCTGCATTGACATCAGGACAAGTAAGTGCCCATTTCCAAAAATCCAGTGCAATCCGATACCAGGAAGTGTGGACTTCCAGTACCAGTCCACGACAAAAGATACCTAAGGTGGAATTAATTAGTGGTGGAACTGGACCAAATGTCCCTCCAAGGAAAAACTGTCACAAATCAGCACCTACTTCCCCCACAGCTACAAACATTTCCTCCAGAACCATCCCTGTAAAGTCACCTAATTTGTCTGAAATAAAATTTAATAGTTACAACAATGCTGGTATGCCACCTTTTCCAATTATCATTCATGATGAGCCAACTTATGCTCGGAGTTCCAAAAATGCTATCAAAGTTCCCATTGTAATCAATCCAAATGCATATGACAATCTAGCTATCTACAGAAGCTTTCTGGGAACAAGTGGCGAGCTCTCAGTGAAGGAAAAAACCACAAGTATAATAAGCCATACTTATGAAGAAATAGAAACTGAAAGCAAAGTGTCTGATAGCACTGCAAATAAACCCACTGAATGTCCCCAAGTTAAAGGGTTTTCAAACAGCACAGAGCGTAAAAGGGGCTCAGTGGCTCGAAAGGTTCAGGAGTTTAACAACTGTCTTAACAGAGCCCAGTCTTCACCACAGAGAAGCTATAGTTCTAGCCACAGCTCCCCAACGAAGATCCAGAGAACCACTCAGGAACCTGTGGCCAAAACAGAAGACGCTCAGGAGTCGCAGACTGTGGGCAGCTGCAGTAGCACCAGGGAGAAAGCAAGCACAGTCCTTTCTCAGATTGTGGCTTCTATCCAACCCCCACAGTCTCCTCCAGAAATGCCTCAATCTGGCCCTAAAGCTTGCAGTGTGGAGGAGCTTTATGCCATTCCTCCAGATGCCGACACTGCTAAGAGTACACCTAAGAGTACGCCAGTCCGGCCCAAGTCTCTCTTTACGTCTCAGCCAAGTGGTGAAGCTGAAGCACCTCAGACCACAGAAAGTCCGACCACGAGAGTACAGAAAGATCCACTCTCAAAGACAGTCACTACCCCTCCCTCCAAATTAGTGATGAACGCCCAAAGTGAGCCAACACCTCCCTTCCCTCCCCCACGCTCCACTTCTTCTCCTTACCATGCAAGTAACCTTTTGCAGAAGCATTTCACCAACTGGACCAAGCCAACCAGCCCTGCCAGGTCAACAGAAGCTGAATCAGTTTTGCATTCTGAAGGTAGCAGGCGGGCAGCTGATGCAAAACCTAAGCGCTGGATATCATTTAAAAGCTTCTTCCGCCGTCGGAAAACAGATGAGGAGGATGAAAAAGAGAAAGAGCGAGAGAAAGGGAAACTAGTGGGCCTGGATGGCACAGTCATCCACATGCTGCCCCCTCCACCAGTTCAGCGCCATCACTGGTTCACAGAAACCAAAGCAGAGTCCAGTGAGAAACCAGCCATTGTCTTCATGTACAGGTGTGACCCCCCTGCTGAAGGCCAGTTCAGTGTGGATCAGAGCCAGGCCGGAGCCGACCAGACAGCAGTCATGGAGAAGGGTGGAAAAGAAGATACTTTCCTACAGGACTCAGAGAAGAAGAAAAGGAGCCATTCTTCCCCATCACAGATTCCTAAAAAAATTCTCAGGTATGTAAAATAGACTGGCAGAATGTGGGTTTTTTTTTTCCTTTAAACACATTTTCAGGTGCTAAGTTTTTTGTATCTTTAAGATTGCATAAGAGCCATTTCTGTTTGTAAGTAGCACTCTGTGGCCATCATCTATCTTTAAACTGCATTCCAAGATTAGAATATTATTGGAGTGATCTTATTGCACTGAACAAGGTTTATGACCCTGGAATTTTAGCTAAAGTAGCCTCCTGCATTCTGGTAAATGCAAAAGGGCTTTAAGATAGGAAAGCAAATCCAGAATACCTAAATAGCAATAAATTATACATTGCTTTGAAATGCTGTGATAGCATAAGGAAGAAACAGGATCAAATGAATACATGGTAGTACTGTTCTTTCCCTCATTGTAAGTGAAATAAGACTCTTCAAGCAGTTCTTCCTGTCTTTCACCAAAGTGTTATCTCCATATGCATTACTTTCTTTTATGGGAATATTTGTTTGTTTTTTATTGCTATCTGTCTTAGGCTGGGTGCGATAGAGAAGCAAAACCAGTGAAGCATATGTGTATAAATATATAGAGAGAGATTTATCTCAAGGAAATGGCTCACGTGGTTGTGGAGGCTAGCAAGTCCCAAATCCATGGGTCAGGCGTGAGGCTGGAGGCTTCTCCTGACTCACATGGTTTGCAAGGGCTGATGAACCCACAATCGGCAGGTCAGATGGTACGCTGCTGGCCCACGGGGCTATGGAAGCTGATGAATCCCAGAATCGGCAGGTCAGACAACAGGTTCAAGTCCCAAGAACCAGAGGTTAGATGATGACAAGCCGGATGCTGGATCCAGAGCAAGGGAGAGCCTTGCCAGAGCATCCATATATATATTGGATGCAGGTGACACTCCCAAGGAAACTCTTCCTGCATCAGAGTAAGGGTGTGACTTGAGTCACAACCTCTTGTAAGCCTGTGACTCAAGATACATGCCACACTAATCCTGCCTCATTAACATATAGAGGTTAGGATTTACAACATATAAGATGGAGAGTAATTACATCAGATCACGAAAGGGAGGACAACCACACAATACTGGGAATCATGACCTACCCTACCCTAGTTGACATATAACATTAACCATCACACTCCCATTCCCTGTCCATCTTCCAAGTGTTGCAGAAGAAAAAAGGGAGGGGGAGGTTATTTAACATGTAGGTAAAATAGGAGAAGTTATTGAGATTAAGACCCAATAGTATAATCCTCAATTCAGCTAAACCCATTGTATACCTACATCAGTTCTCTGGGCATTAGTTTTCTTTTCTTTAGTACTTTAATAAATATTTCCTGATCTCCTATTCTCTGTCAGGCATTGTGCAGGGCACGTCCCAAATATTTATCTCAAGTCCTTACTAACAGCCCTATAAATTGGTTGTGTTCTTCAAATGATTTCTTAGTTATCTAGTGCTGCTGTAACAGAAATACCACAAGTGGATGGCTGTAACAAACAGAAATTTATTTTCTCACAGTTTAGGAAGTTAGAAGTCTGAATGCAGAGTATCAGCTCTAGGGGAAAGCTTTCTCTGTCAGCTCTGGAGGAAGGTCTTTGTCTCTTCAGCTTCTGCTTCCTGGTTCCTTGGAGATCTCCATGTGTCTTGGCATCTACCTTACCCTATTTCTACTCTGTTCGCTTGTTTAATCTCTTTTATATCTCAGAGATTGACTCAAGATACACCCTACACTAATTCTGCCTCATTAACATAACAAAGACAACCCGTTCCCCAGTGGGATTATAACCACAGGCATTGTTTTGTTGTTAGGTGTCTCGATTCAGTTCCAACTCATAGAGACTCTATGTACCACAGAACAAAACACTGCCTGGTCCTGCGTCATCCTCAAAATCGTTGCTGTGTTTGAGCCCATTGGTGTCGCCGCTGTGTCAGTCTGTCTCGTTAAGGGTCTTCCTCTTTTTGCTGAGCCTCTACTTTACAAAGCATGATGTCCTTCTCTAGGGAATGGTCCCTCCTGATAACATGTCCAAAGTACGTGAGATGAAGTCTTGCCATGCTTGCTTCTAATGAGCATTCTGGCTGTACTTCTTCCAAGACAGACTTACTTGTTAATTCTTCTGGCGGTCCAGGGTATATTCAGTATTCTTCACCAACATCATAATTCAAATGCATCAATTCTTCTTTGGTCTTCCTTATTCATTGTCCTGCTTTCACATGTATATGAGGCAACTAAAAATACCATGGGTTGGGTCTGATGTACCTTAGTCCTCAAAGTGACACGCCACAGGCATAAAGGTTAGGATTTACAACACATGTTTGTTTTTTTTTGGGGGGGGCACGTAATTCAATTCATAACAGATGAGGAAGCTGAAACTCAGAGAAGATAACAATTGGCCAGAGTAACACAGCTAGTAATTGTCAGAGTCAGAATTCAAACCTATTATCGTTCTCACTCTAAAGCTTGTATTCTTCCAATCTTGTTGCATTGTTAATGAGTACAAGGTCAAACTGAACTGTTAAATATTCACTTCTAATCATTCACATAAACATTTGTTTAGGAAGCTTAAGTTTTGCTTTCTCATTTGTATTGTATGCAAAACTAATTAACTGCCAATAAAAACAAGAAACGATTATCCCAAGTTTGTGACAAATAGGTTGGTTTCTTTATACAAATAGGATGATTTATTTTCTTTTTAAACAAAGATATGCCCTGAGTGCTCTATTCATCTGATTCAGGGTCTTCATCCCTCCTGACTGACATTAAACCTTTTCTACAGGGCCTGGCCTTCTATCCAGCGAAGACGGCAAACTGATGGAAAGGGCAGGTTCTCTTACCAGTTTTTCTTTGGAAACGTATAAAGAAAATGAAGTGAACACTTAATGCCTTCACTTCTTCTAGCAAAATGCTAGGAAGTTTTATATAAATTCTTTACTAAAATGAGCTTTTTACACCTCTCAAATAGTTGTCAGAATGCTAGCAAATTCCTTAAATCCATTTAATAGCAAAGCAACTAGAATAGTGATAATATATTCCTGGAAAGAATAGTCTTGTCATTGGTCATTGAATATGGGTGATAGAATGTTGTACACCAGTAATAATAAAATATATTTATTGCAGGTTACTATTTTATTTAGGAAAGAAGCAATTTAAACAGCATATGATTGGAGTTACCTACAAGGAAATGGCAGATAGTTCATGCAGATCAATAAATGGCTTTACTCCTCATTAGGTATGGCTGTGGTATATTTATCCACATCCTGGAAGGCAGAGCCAATGAATGACTTGGCCTCTCTTCTATGGAATGAGACTCTCTCCTTTGACTGTATATGGGCTTGAGGGCAGCCCAGGCCCTTGCCATGGCACACTACTTATTATACAGCTTATTTTTTTTCAAAAATTTATTTATACACAGGCCAGTCATATTTTCCAAAATGTATCACTTTACTATAGGTAACATCCATGAGTCCAAATGACATGATGAGTCTGCTTCATTGGTTCTCAAACTTGAGCATGCATCAGAATCACCTGGAGGGCTGGTTAGAACACAGATTGCTGGGCCCAACCCCCAGAGTTTCTGATACAGTAGGTCTGGAGTAAGGCCTGATAATTTGCATTCCTAACTAGTTCTCCGGTGATGCTGATGCTGCTAGTCCAGCATTAAGAACCACTGGGCTTACCACTTGGTCTTACCATCAGGAGCCCTGGTGGCGAAGTGGTTAAAGAGCTTGGCTGCTAACCAAAAGATTAGCGGTTTGAATCCACCAGCCACTCCATGGAAACTCTATGGGGCAGTCCTACCCTGTCCTACAGGGCCAGTATGAGTCGGAATCAACTTGACAGCAATGGGTTTGGTTTGGTCTGCCATCATTCTAAAAATCTGTGCTATTGTCTAAGTAAAGCAGTGGTTGATTGAGACATTCAGCTTTTCTTAGAGGCACAGAAGAATTTTCACATTTCGTAGTGTCCCGGACAATGTAGAAAAAGACATTCATTAGTTTTTCTTTTATTCCTTTTCCACTAATTTTTTGAAAAGTTTAAAACATAAATACACATTTTGAAGAATATACAGCATTTGCTGTTTCAATAATTACCTCATTTACTTGGATACACCATTGGTATTTACTTGAAGCAACTTTGAAAAGACAAACATTACTGTCAAATGTCAGCGTTTATGTTTCCAGCTTGATGGCAGTGTAATCATTAAATTACCATCCCATGGCTGGAAACACACTGATGGAAGAAATGAAAATGCAGGTTTTTCTATAAGTAAATGAAGATTCCAAATCCAAACTGTATATAAGGAATGAAGAATGAAAAATACTGTACCAAAGACCAGGCTCCAGGCACTAAGATAAGAGATTTTATAGAGACTTACATTATGGGATTTTATTGTTATTAAGTTCATTTACTTAACTGTTCAGAAGACATAAATTGAATGTCTTAACTCTGTGTCACATATAGTATTAGGTCCTGGAGCAAATAGGGGTAAAGATTATGACACTGGTAAAATACTGGGTTTGGGTTTGAATTCTGCTTCAGCTATCCATCTAGTTCTTCAGGGTACAGTGGCTATGTTGATAACTATCATATAAAATTAGAGGATTTCATGAGAAAATATGTAAAAGGCTTAGCATGGGGTTTGGCACATGTTGTTGTTTTGGGGTGCTGTCAAGTTAATTTTGACTCACAGCAGTCCTGTGTGACAATAGAACTGCCCCATAGAGTTTACTTGGCTGTAATCTTTATAGAAGCAGATAGCCAGGTCTTTCTCCTGCAGAGCCGCTGAGTGGGTTTGAACCACCAACCAAAATTAGGTGCTCTAAAATGTTAGTAGCCTCTCTACACTAAAACAATGTGTGTGCAGAGTGGTACAGAAGCACCAAGTCAGAGTGACTAAATCGGCTCTAAACAGATTTCTCAGAAATGAAATCCAAACCATATCTTAAAAGACAAATAGGATTTTGCCAGCTAATTGTTTCATTGCAGGCAAAGGAAACAACGTATGCAAAGTCACAGGGATGAG